TCTCTCTCTCTCTCTCTCTCTCTCTCTCTCTCTCTCTCTCTCTCTCTCTCTCTCTCTCTCTCTCTCTCTCTCTCTCTCTCTCTCTCTCTTTGCAAATATCACGCGACGATTTTACGGACAAATTTCGAGCGGGACGCGTGAAATTCCGGGACGATTTAAATACTCGCGAGCCGGGCGCAGCGCGCAAGTACGCGTTTCGCTAGTTTTCGGCGCAAATGATTAAACTGAGGGGGACACGTTCGCGCATGAAATGAATATTCTATTCTATATCACTAGCCGTCATACACATATACACAGCTGGCGGTCTTAACAGCAGCAGTCCGGCGGAATCGATGTCGTTGCGGTTGATGAATATTTAGACGCCGTCCGCACATTTTGCAATGTAACTTGGTATAATTGATAACGCTACGGTAGCTTCGAAACGGATTATCGGCGGCATCGATTATACCGCAATATTAAATTGAACACACGCGTCGGCCAAAAGTAGACACATAAACCCTCACCCCTCCCGTCTACCCCTCGTCCCTCCCTCCCGTCCGCCCTTTCCCTCTCTCTTCCCGTATTGACTACAAATTTAATCTCGCTGCGCCGCGCTATTAAATGCGAATCCATCGTAACGAGTGTTTAATTGAAGCGCGCAAGATATACAAACTGACGGCGGCCGGTTATCGGAGTCACTGGCTGACTGACTGACCGTTCGCATGAAATACCAATCACGTTAATAAGCTTGCGCTATTAAGCCGCGACAATTAATAACAAGTCGTGAAGGTGAATCGGTAATGCCTCTCGAGGATCTCGCGAATCATCGGCCCGGAACGCGTCTCGTCCGAATATTTTGTTCTGCAAATTTACGACAATGGAAAATGAACACACGCACACGTGCGCACATACAACATACATACACATACACACACACACACACACACACATACTATGTGATGCAAATAACGCGACAGAACACATAGAGAAAGCGCGGTCTATAAAACGCCGCCCGGAATTCCGCACACGTCCTAACGTTTATTGCGCGAATTATTGCAAATTATGTGGAACGCGCAATACAATACGCGTCACCAAAGAACGTGCGGGTCACGAAAGAATTGTATTTACATAATTCGCGATAAAATCTCTATAATTGTGCATTGTGTCTGCATAATTTATAATATCATGATAAATATTTCGAAATGCACGCGCGACGCTCGCCGGCTGCTTTGCGAAACGAATGTGCTATGAACTGCACGCCATAAATTTCGCAGAAAATCTACTCATGCGATCGCGTCCGACAAGTGCGAACTTTATTTCGGAAAATCTCTAGATTCTCAATCATTAGCAATATTCAGCATACACAGCGCGAAAACTTTAATACCTCGATACTTTCTCTCCTCCCCTTCCTCTCACTTTCTCTCTCTCTCTTTCCTCGCATTCACGTATGCACGCTTTTTGATAAATTTGGTGTAAATTTTACCGAATTTGTCAGAAATAAAGTGTGAGAGAAAGAGAGAGCCTGGACTGTTAGAAGGAAAGAATAAAATCGCAAAAAAGAACACGTGAATAAAATATCCGAAAAATCTTGCATTCAAAATACTCCCTTAGCACCCCTTTGATACGCGCAGTGTCGCCATGTTCTTTTCCTCCTTTCTGTTTTTTTTTCTTTTTTTTATCGAACCAGAATTTTTTCCATAAACGTGCAAAGAGTGCATCTTACCTGAGCTCTCCGAGGCGTATACGTCCGGGCAGGCCTGGTACTTGAAGATGAGCTTGCTATCGTCCGTGCAGATGTCGATGCTGCTCGGCGGGTTCGAGCACATACCGTGGCCCCGATTGTACGAGAAGGTCATGGGTCCGCGAAAGGGACACGTCACCGTCGGTGCGTCCTCGCGGAACAATGAGTACAGCATTGCATCCCCCGTAATATACGAGCAGATAAAATCCAGAGTGGTTCTATCGTGGCAAAAAGCTGCAATAGAAAATTAATTGATATTAAACGCGCGGAGCAACGTGTCTCGCATTAGTAACGAGGTTCTTCGCGCCGTTGAGGGGGTGTATTAAAGTGAATGACGATGAGCTCCAGAAATGTCAATAACGCAGATGCACGATTTTATGTCTTCTTACATGCATGCTTATCAGCAGTTCAGTTCACTGCATGAATCTTACATTGGAAGATCTGTGCAGTGAATTAGCTGCCGGTATATATGTCGGACAGGCATGATATCGTGCATCGTATGTCTGTAGCTCAACACGATAACGTTATTTCGTGTATCACTTGTACATCTTATATAATCATAGATCTTATATAAATGTGTGCTGCTTTGTTTTACCATATTTGGCGAAAAACCTCACCATGCATATACATAGAAATCTTTCTGCAAACTTTTCGTATATTTTCAAGTTTTAAAAGTTTTAAAATTCGGTTGTAAAGTTACAGCGATATTCTTTGAAATTTTGCTCAGTGGAGCGAACATACGTCGTCCGATATATACAAGCTGCAAAACTTTTGTTCATGCCAACTGACAGTTCGAGATATCAATATTGAAATTTTTTATCGGTTTCGTCACGTGTTGAGCAATGCTCCAATTAACTTTTGCACCTGCTTTCGTTGTATAAAAGTATTTGCAGTTCTGTGTAATCAATACGACATGAACTTTGCCAAAAAATGTCAGTATTTTGTTGCGAATATTTTCAAGTATTGTATCTCTTTAAGGGGATGCCGGATATGAAAACTTTACCGACATAACATTGACTTTTTTTTATAAAATTTACGTCTTATTGCTTGCACAGAATTACAAACGCTTTTACACAACAAAAGTGCATGCAAAAATTAATTGGAGCATTGATCATATGTGACAAAAACGAAAAAAATGTTTAAATTTAAATTTTGAGTTAGTGCAATATTCGTTTAATACAAACATTTTGCAAGTTATACATATCAAATTGCTCCAATCAGTAAAATTTCCAAGATCACTACTACACTTTCAGATTTTAGTTTCGATGCCAAAAAAGATAAGAAAAGTTTGCAGAAAAGTTGATTATACTCGTATGCGGTTAGGTTTTCCGACAACTATGATAAAGTAGAGCGAAAAATTAGTTCACGAATATTTTTCGAGATGGCACTGTACTTTTATCGCACTTTTCGCAACGTCCGAATATTCAGTGTATATATATATAAAATTCGGTTTTATATATATATATATATATAGCATTCGCTTCGACGGTTGATAGTGCTATTGTGTGACGAGCACGTGCTCACGCACGCGTGTTTGCATGACCCGGCTGCGCCCTCCCTGCTCAGTCAACAACCTGAGCGGGACGTTACGACAGTCGGTTTATCTAGCCTTTGTGGAGCCTAGAGTTTTTGTTAGAACCGTTGCCCAGGTATTGTTATTACCGATTATTCGATCATCATTATTTCTTTATTATCCACTGAAGGATATTATCACACGATTAGATATTATTATCACTACCATTTAATATTCGATTATTACTTCTTTATTCGGTTATTATTTAATTATTGCAATTACGCATAGGAAAGCAACTCGGGCGTGCCATTACGACAATTTCTTTACCTCATCTTTAATCAGTTATTATTGCCGTTGCTTATTATTATTCATTGTTATTACCGATTATTCGATCATCGTTATTCAGTTATTATCCACTCGCGGCTGTTATCACACGATTGCCAAGCTGATATTATTATCACTACCATTTATTATTCCAATATTATTACTTTCTTATAATAATTATAATAATATCTGTAATAACAATACCTGGGCAACAGCTCTAACAAAAAATCTAGGCTCCACAATGGCTAAGTAAAGAAACCGTCGTAACGGCCCGCTCGTGCCGCTGACTGAGTGGCGCTTGGGATGGCGCGCGGCCGGGTCATGTAAACACGCGTACGCGAGCACGTGCTCGAGCGTCACGCCATAACACTCTCAACTGTCGAGACGAGCACATCGAGAGCTGCCGCGTTATTTCCTAAATTATTCCGTGCCGATTTTTAATACCGCGTTTCGACTTCGCGACAATTGAGGCGATAATTAAGACAAATTAAGACGCGAGCAGGTATTGCGGGCTTTACCGCGTTTCATTCACTTTTTTATTTGTTAAATAGAGAAACGTCGCGATCGAGTTCTTCAATGTCGATCAAATATCATCATTCATTTATTATTTGAGTATTATTACTTCTTTATTCGGTTGTCATTTAATTATTTATATTGTATATTGAGAAGCAACTCGAACATGCCGTTACGATTTCCTTATCTCGTCTTGCTGTCGTGTGTAATTAATTGGTACTACCGGATATTATTATACGGTTGCCGATCAGATATTAATATCATCATCCATTAATTAATCGGGTATTATTACTTCTTTATTCAGCTATGATTTAATTATTTCTTATTGCGCATTGGAAAAGAACTCGAGCGTGCCATTACGACAATTTCTTTTCCTTGTTTTGCTGTAGCGTGTAACTAATTGATATTAAATTATTAAATTACTAAATTAAATTAAATTTCTGTCACAGAGATACAATAGAGCAGACGCAGTCACGCAGCTGTAGGGAGTGCGATGCTTGGGGGATGCCGGAGAATTCGGCTTGGACCTGTCTGAGTTGGCTCGAAGGTGAGCTTCACTTAATTTGTACTTATAATTAGAAACCCGACAAAATTGAAAATTTTCTTGTTTGGAATCGAATTCCTTAATGCATCCATTGTCGTGTAACTAATTAATATTCAATTAAATCTGTTTTTTGTTGCAGAGACGAGCACTTGACTCTAAGGAGATGTTGCGCCGGAGGATCCGACTCGGGCCTGGCAGAGTTGGCGCGAAGGTGAGCTTCATTAATTAACATTTAAAATTAGAAATCCGAAAAGATTGATAATCCTCTTGCTCGAAGTCGAGATAATTTGAATTGAATCAAAGATCGCATTGAAGAATAGTAATTACACGCGGGGAGGATTTTTTCTGAATAACATCACCACTTGAAAAATTTTGATTTGTTCTGATTAAGAAATTTATTTGCAACGTCGAGAAAAAGGAAAGTGGAATATTCCAAGTGTGAATGCATTCCGAAAAATTCTTCCAGCGTGAAAAATATCGCGCTTATTTTTTTTAATCCTTCAAACTTTTTTATTCAAACCGATATTAATGCACGAATCTAATCGGCGAAATGGCATTTTTCTATTCCAGAAACGAAAGCAGAATGTAGCTACCATGATCGGCGATTTAGTGAGTCAAAACAAGAAACATATTAATAATAGAAAGAGAAAAAGTCTTTCGATGTAGTGCATGTTGAATCAATGCGATTTACTTTGTTGTAGTTGTAGTATGTGTACGTGCCGTCCAATAAAAATCATACTGCTCGAAACAATTGGAAGATCGCTTTTTCAAATAATAATATTAGTGATAATGTATATTTTACATTTGGCAAATAAATTTGGCAAATAAATTTTAAAGTATTTTTTCCTAATGTATATTTAAATCAGAAATTGATTAACTTAGATTGATTGGTTGACGATTGATTAGTTGACGATTTTTATCGGAGGAAATTTTGATTAATCAAACCCCAACACTATCTGGTAGATGCCCAAAGTATTGAGTATACGCTCTGAACATTCAAAATTTTGTAAAATTATTCAGTTTTATTAAATGCGATCTTTCAGGTGCCTCGGGCAGTGCGCCAACGCGCAAAGAGATTGTGCCAATGCGCAAAGGGATTACGCCACAGAGATTGCGCCACAGAAAATACGCAGTCACATCACCCGCGTCATAGATCTTCCGCCGGTCGTTAATTTTCTCAATTTTCTCTCTCGCGTGAGCTTGAATCGCGATTGCATTTTATAAAGTAGAGTTCGCGCTTCGTTATTAAATAAAATTCGATATCGTACGCGAAGCGATTTAACGCTTAATAAGTTGCTCGCAAAATTAATTTCTCGATCGTTGGAAAATTTTCAGGTTTCAATTTTTCACTTAGAGTTAGAGTTTCCTAACGCGGGACACAATACAGACATTGATCCCTCGCGAAAAACGTGATGTGCATAAGTCAGACAAGCGAGCAGTTGTTGGTTTACTTATGCGGCGCGCGACAAGTTCCATCGAAGACAGACATCTCACACGGTAACATTTTTTTCGCATGAATTTGGAATAGAATCTTTATCTCTATCGTCACAATTTTCATAGTTTTTGATTTTTCACTCACGCTTGCGTTCGCGATTATTAATTTGATAAATTTGCGAATTTCACCGGATCGTATTTGCGGAAGAGTCTCGAGCGAACTTCGCAGAAATATTGCAGAATTGTTATCCGCAAAAGCACTGCGGAATTGTCTTCGCAAAAGTATTGCGGAGCTGTTATCTGCAAAAATATTGCGGAATTGTCTTCGCAAAAGTATTGCGAAGTTGTTATCCGCAAAAACATTGCGGAATTGTCTTTGCAAAAGTATTGCGGAGCTGTATTGCAACTTACTACATTGCACCATCGAAACGTTACATTAGGGATATTCCGTATCGTACGTGAGAATTTCGCACAGATTACTTCGCCCACGCGTCGAAAGATTTTGCAAGATCGGCCTTCGCGTCACCTTTGGCTCGCGGATTCTGTTTTCTGCGTAAGCGATTTGCATCGCGCATGTACCAAAGCAATACACTACAACTCGATCGGACCGTTACTGAATTACCGTTGCTGAATTAATCGTACATACTTGTCGTTTATCCGAAAGGCCGACATTTCCTTAAAGACGCAGTTCGCGATATTTCATACGCAATTCACAACTCGAAATGTATCCCCCAAGAGAAACGGGATTTTTCGTGAAACCTTCGTTAGATTACCGTGGTCGGGAATTACAGGCGACGTGGGACGCAAGGACCATTGCAGTGTCAGATGCAGCGACAGGATGCCTGATGGACCCTGGACACCGTGGGACGACGCGCAATGGTGAGCGCTCAATTTAGACGCTCATAT